ACTAATTTGAACGCCGATTTTAAGCGCAAATGTGGACGTCACACAAATAGTGAAGCATATGAGAGATATGACTCCCGATTTGATTTCAACAGAGTTTGGTATTAGTGCTAATTGGGAAAAATGATTTTTTTTATTTAATGAAATATGCACTACTGCTCAATATATATATATTTTTTATGTTTTTGAAATAAGTCTCCTCTGCTCACCAAGGCTGTATTTATTTAATTGAAAATACATTAAAATTAGTTAAATAATATTACAATTTAAAATAACTGTTTTCTATGTGAATATATAGTAAAGTGTAATTTATTCCTGTGATCAAAGCTGTATTTTCAGCATCATTACTCCAGTCTTCAGTCTCACATGATCCTTCAGAAATCACTCTAATATGAGGATTTGCTGCTCAAGAAACATTTATGATTATTATCAATGTTGAAAACAGTCATGCTGCTTCAAATCTTTTCTCAACAGAATCTTTTGTAACAGTATAAATGTATTTTACTGTTACTTTTCATCAGTTATTGTAACAATATTTACAATCAATATTTATCTCATGCCATTTAGTGGCATTTTGCATTGTATCCTGGGATTTCATAGGATGCATCCTTTAAAATTCGGCCAATATCAGGTACGTTAGTAGGCTACTTTTTAAACGTGTCTATGATGCTCTCTAGGTAGGAAGCTCACTAGGTTTGGAACAGATGGCAGCAAAACTTCATATTCCTCATAGCGGCTCACTTAATGCCGGGGTTTGGAAGGCTTTGGAGGCGCTATATTAACGTGTGGTCGAGTGTTAGTTTGTGTTCGCAGAAGGGTTTAAATAAACACACACTTTTAGCTGCTCGCCCCTCGCAACTCCATTATATGCAGAAACAGGAGATGTTTCTTAAACACAGACCCTCGACTTCATCACACATGTGCTTTTGTATTTAAGAGTGATTCTGAAGCCTTTGTGGACATGGAAACACAAAACCAGAAAAGAATCAAACCAGCCGTATCCGATTTCCAATGAACATTCCTGGTCTTTGTTCCGCACTGTTTGATCTATTTTGACGTTGGATCCATAAGTCGCATCTATTCTCCCGACCCGTCCACTCATGTGTGTGTGTTTTTTTTTTTTGCTGACACACGCATTGCTTGTTGCAACTCGCCTCGCTTGCGGTGGAGTCCTCGCGGCCGGTGACGTCATTCTACAAAGTTGGCATGCGTTTTTGCGTGAGTTTTTTACAGCCCTCGTCTCTGACATGTTTGAAAGGCACATATCTGAACGGGTTCAAAGCTCGTAAACAGAGTTTAGCTCATGCAAACAGAGTGTAGAAAATACTCGGCGTGCATTTTAAGAGCGCTGTCGAGGGCTGTATCAACACCGAAAGCCCCGTGATGACAGAGATGTGTGCGTTTGGAACACGACCCACTTTGTGTGGTCACAGTTGCATGAAAATATGATGAGAATTGAAAAAAGGGGCACGAAAAATCTGATCTTTATAACCAGTAACACATTGTTCTATTCCGTTATGTGTATTCCAGTTCTGTTCTTTTCTATTCTATTCAGTTATGTTTTATTCTGTTCAGCGGCGTTCTGTTTTATTGCTCTAATTCTATACTCTATCATGTTCAGTGGTGGGGTTCTGTTTTGTTCAATTATATTCTCTTCAGTTTTATTCTATCATGTCATGTTCTGGTATATTTAATTCTATTTGATTTTATTCATTCGCATACAGTTATGTTTTTCATTTCTATTCTATTTGTTTTTGTCCTATTCTGCTCTACAGTTACGTTTTGGATTATTCTATTCTGATTATATTCTAAATTACCGTTCCCTTCTGTTCAACTCTATTCTTACATTCTGCTCACTTCTATGCCGTCATGTTCATTTATGCTGTTCTGGTCTATTCAATTCTATTGTATTTTTATTCATTCACATTCAGTTGTTTTTTCTATTATATTTGTTATTGTCCTATTCTGCTCTACAGTTGCCTTGGTCTATTATTTTCTGATTCTATATGTTACAGTTATGCTTTTGCATATTTACTTCTGTTCAATTCTATTCTGTTTTGTTAAATTACATTCTGCTGTTAAATTAGGCTATTCTGGTATATTCGATTCTATTTTATTTATTCACATTGAGTTATGATTTAATTTAATTTCTGTTTGTTTTGTCATATTTTGCAATTTATATCTTGGCCTATTCAGTTCTGTCATGTTGATTCTATTCTATATTAAAGTTTATTGTTGGCCTAATCACTTCTGTTCAATTCTATTCGGTTTTGTTCAGTTACATTCTACTCACTTTCATTAAATGTCATGTTCAGTTATTGCTGTTCATGGTCTATTCAGTTATATTGTATTTTATTCAGTTGTTTTTTTTCTATTCTATTTGTTTTTATCCTATTCTGCGCTACAGTTGTCATGGTCTATTCTATTCTGGTTCTGTTCTATATTACAGTTATGCTTTTGTTTATTCACATCTGTTCAATTCTATTCTGTTTTGTTCAATTACATTCAGCTCACTTTTATTCTGTCATGTTCATTAATGCTGTTCTGGTTTATTCAATTCTATTTTATTCATTCACATTCAGTTATGTTTTTGTTTTCTATTGTATTTGTTTGTTGTCCTATTTTGCTATACGGTTATGTCTTGGTCTATTCTATTCTTTCCTGTTGATTCTATTCTATATTACGTTTTTCATTGGCCTAATCACTTCTGTTCAGTTCTATTCTATTTTTAACAATTATATCATACTTGCTTCTATTCTATGTTATGTTCAGTTATGTTCTGGTCTATTCAGTTCTATTTTATTCATTACTGTTCAGTTATGTTCTTTCAATGTCTATTTCATTAATTATTGTTCTCTTTGAGTCTGCGGTTATGTGTTATTCTGATATATTCTATGCTTTGTTGTGGTCAGATCTTTAATAACCGTTTTTAATTCTACTTTATGAACTACTGTGGATGCTTAAAGTCAGCATGAAATAGAAGTTTCGCGGGTCTTTTCTTCCCTGTTGTGACGTATATCCGAGTGAAACGCTTCTGGAACAAGATCAAATGTGGGCGGGGCTTGATTTTGTCCTTAGGGAATTGATTGGATGTTGTGGTTTGCTATTGGTGGATCTCATGTGAGTGACAGGTTGTCCCGCTCGTAGAATCAGAATAGAATGATCCAAAACGTATAGAGCAGAATAGGACAACTCGTCATCAGAGAAGAGAAAAGATGTCGCTGCAAGAGCGATGGGAATTTATTTTGATTCATGATTACGAGGCACATGAATAAAATAAAAACAATGATGTGCACGGATGAATCATTTATAATAAACACTGCAATATTCCATAATAAAGTCAGAAATGGAAAATTTGATTTCATGGTGACTTTAACCAACCTTCAACACTGGCTAAGCTTACATGCAACCAAATAATACGTAAGTAATCGGACTGATGGCTCAATCGGACTGAAAAGCCTTTATGTAAACACTTTAATTGATCCGATTGAGCTCGATACGAATTAAATTTCAAATCGGATTGAAACTTGTTTCGGATTCTCATCCACAAACGGTTTTGGGCATTTTTACTGCGTGATAAATTAAAGCGTCACAACTGTTCATATATTCATTTACTCCAATTTTTGACCAGAAATGGATAAATATTACTTGCTGTTTAAAACAAATAAAGAACCAATGTAGGAGAATAGAATAGGCACAAACGCCGGGAAACTCTGTATATTAGTTAGTGAGCGCATGTCAAAAAAATCCATTCTGATTTGAAGCTTGTGACATATAAACGCGCACATCAACCAGATCACATGTTCAGCGTTCATGTAAACACTTCATTCAGATTCATCAATCAGAATGAATTCAAGCCACATTTACACATAGCCGGGTATTTAGAGAAACGAATAATATCCGTTTTCAATAATATCATCGTGCACACAACATCGTTTTAAAAACATTTGTCATTTACATCAACCCGCATTAATATGCCGTCGAGCGCCATCCATAGACAGTATAAGAAGTGGACAGAGCCATCTCATTGGAACTCAGTTGAGACGATTTTTGAGCACTTCCGTTCCTGACGCGCAGACTCAAACCGACTCAAACTAAGCTTGATGACGTGAGCAACCTGTCTGACAGACGTTACTCTTCTAGTAGCTGTGCCAAGAGGAATCTAATCATTCCCTTCCGAAACTTGCAGAGCCGGAGATCGTGAGTATTAGCTGTCCATGAGCTCGCAGCAGGAGCAACTTTACAACTCTCTATGGGCTTCTCCCTTGACTTTATGCCTCCACGTCCCCCCGATTGCGCGCGAGTTTCTACTTCTGTCTATACGGTAATTTCTCTACTGTGCGCCAGAGAGTCGCGTGTTATGACGCAATCGTTAGCATATTTTTACAAAAACGGCTTCTACGGGGCCATAACGTAAGGTACAAAGTAATGGAGCCTTTTATACATTGTCGTGTTTCTTTAGAAATAAATAATGGACAAATGGAGTCTTTAAACGCCTCAGATGTAAAGTTATTCGCTGTCAAAGTGACGCCAAAATGAATGGGAGTCAATGGAAATGCTAACGCAAGTGAAGTTCTGCTACAAGATGGCGGCACCCGGCCGGCTTCAACTTCCGGTCGATGGATTACCCCCCTGGGGCGCCATCATAACTGGGCGCTCACGTGACATTAAGCATTTTCTGGCGCATAATGTGACGTTTGAGAACCTAAAACCCCGTTTCTCCCAGTCGACACGGCAACACATAACCAGCGTTATCAGAAATCTCCACTTTGGCCGGAGTTTTTAGAAATAATCGTTTTCTGTGATAAAAACGGGGTTTTCATTTTTTACGGTGTAAATGAGAGGCCAAACCGCAGGGAAATATCTGCGTCTTCCCTTCGTGTAAACGGGGCATCAGTCCGATTGAAACAAAAGTTGTGCATGTAAACGTAGCCAATGCAAGCGTCTCATTAATGTCCATCCCCCTTTCTTTACTCTTTGGGTTTGTCTCTTCTGTCCCATAGGGCTCTTTCTTCTGTGGTGGCTCTTGGTGCGAACATCATCTGTAATAAGATCCCGGGTCTCGCGCCCCGCCAGCGAGCCATCTGTCAGAGCCGGCCCGACGCCATCATCGTGATCGGGGAAGGGGCACAGCTGGGCATCAACGAGTGCCAGTACCAGTTTCGCTACGGGCGCTGGAACTGCTCGGCGCTGGGCGAACGCACGGTCTTCGGGCAGGAGCTGCGAGTAGGTCAGTGGTCGTCGGGACTCAAACAGTACATTTTGTTCAATTACAGTACATTCGGCTCACCTTTATTCCATTAAAGGTGCTGTATGTAAGTTTTTCACTCTACTAAAGCATTAAAACACCATGATATGTTTGCAGATATTTAGGAAACATGCTAAGGTCACATACTCGTTTCTCTGAAAAACACTTCTATAGTCAGTTATTTAATGTATTATTTTAAACGTTCCGTGTTGTCAGTCGGTTTTTGTTTCGGTCTGTGTGACTCCGCCCACTGCCAGTTCACCCAATAGTATTTCACTAATTCGTCTGTCCGTTCAGCCTAAAAGGTTAATAGTGAGCTAACTTGGCTTGCTGTCCTTGGAGGAGGCTCGAACCCGAGGCTCGGCTTGAGCTGCGAGTTAAAACCCCCTGTGGTGGAATTGCGCATAAGAGGATAGAGATAATTTACTGGAGGAGGAAGGCTGCCGGAAGAATTTTTCAATGAGATGACGTAGTGATGCACCGATGTGAAAATTGTGGCCGATACCGATAACCGATATTAATACTGCTGTTATGGCCGATACCGATATTTACCGATGTCGATATCTCTGTATAGAAAACACATAGCGAGGATTAGGGCTGCACGATATTGGTAAAAAATGACATTGCAATATTTTATTTTTCTGCGATATATATTGCGATTTAAAAACATTTTCACCAGATGACCTGAATAGCTTGGAAAGAATGAATCATTCTAGAATGACTGGGGTGGTTTTTTCATGGAGTAAATCCGCATAGAAACTAATATTAATAGCATGTGAACTAATGTAGTTAACTAGACTTTAATAAGTTGAACCTTATTGTAAAGTGTTTTCGATTTATGTCTCTTGAGTTCAGTGTTGGACAGATCAGTTGTTTTAACCATTCATTAAAGTGAATCGGTTCAAAGGAGTCATTAGTTCGCGAATCGGACGTGTCATTAACGGACCATGGCACACGTTGTGTGATTATCCAGGCAGTTTCGGACATCGCACAAGATTTGTCTCAACACAGAAAACATTTCATCACTAGATAGATTTTTTTGTTTGTTTATTGAAAGTGTGGTTTATGTCATCTGAATGTGTGGAAAGCTTTTCAGAGAAGATAAGCCAACGTTATTTTAGCACAATTCACAACCAGCGGTAGTTCAGAAAAAAAAAAACTTCGGTCTTCTGACCTTTTACCATCGTGTGTTCTCAAAGATATTCAGTCAACTCAATTCATTAATATACGCGAGGGAGGGAGAGAGAGCAAGACAGTTTGAAGACGGCGAGAGTGCGCGCGCGACCGGGGCTTTCACTCTCTCTGCTCGTTCTCTCAGTTAAACAAGCGCAGCAGTCACTCATCTACATCACGGGACAAAAATACGCCTTAGTAAGGCTGACAGAAAACAGCGCGCAAGTTCCAGTCTTCTTGCGCTTGATGTTTAAACTGACAGGACTTGCGCTCGTAATGTATGCGCTTGTGCAAAAACAAACATCCCCGCCCCCGCACTCACATCTACACACACGTCAAATACACAGGAATGATTATCGGCCTGTTCACATCGGCCCTATTTTGACATCGGAACGATACCGATGTGAAAAAATTGACCATATCGGTCGATATTATATCGGCGGCCGATATATCGTTCACCACTAAGATGACGTGGTGTCTGCTGCTTATATAGTACGCTCGTAATGATGATTGACACGACTGAATGTTTAGGCTCCTCCCGAACCTACGTTTTGAGCTTGATTTCGACACCCCGGGATGCCAGGAAACACAGCGTATTGCAGCCAGCAAACAAACTGGGTCAACGATTGCAGATTCCACACAACCTAAAAAGCCTCAATATCATCTAAAAATCTCTATGAGCATATTAAAACGCGGATAAATCAACTTACAGTGTGTTAGTCTCCTCGGAAAACAAATTGGAGGAGGGGGGTGGGAGAAATGACGATCTCTGATATTTTAAATTTGGACTGCAGTACCTATTTCAACCACTAGCTGTGATTCTTACAGACTGCACCTTTAATGCTGTTCTGGGCTGCGTTTCTAGATCGTAGAGCCATTGTCATCAATCAAACGGTCTTCGGACAGGAGCTGCGAGTACGTCAGTGTCGTCGCAGGTCACGAAGCGTTTGTTTTCGGGGTGGTGTGGACTAAGAACTGCATTCAAACAATATTATTTCAAACAATAGACTTGCGAATGTCTGTTAGCATTCATGTCCATGACAGGTGCTTTAACCTCAGGTAATTCTGCGAATCTCACAAAGACATGATGGACAAAAAATCAAGAAGAAAAGATAATAAATAATATTTTGCATGAAGACAGTACAGCCTAACATGATGAGAAGACATTGAGATTTTAAATCTTGAATAATGATAAAATGCACTACAATTGGGAAAATATGCACAAAAAAAGAAAGAAAAAAAGTTGATGATCTTAAAGTCCTTAAACTGCAGTGAACCAAAGACAGTCTCAAAAACACGGTTTGAAATCGCTGGTGTTTCTGACGTCACAAACGACCTTGTAACCAATCAGGTCAACGTGTGATCGTCAACCAGTGGATCTCTGAGCTGAGTGAGTGGAGGCGGGGCTCATTTGCATATTCATAGAACCACGCATACTAAATGAGGCAAGGGTGTAGAGTTACATTCAAGATATTTTAAAGCTGCAGTCCGTATCTTTTCCTCTTTGTCGCCATCTCTGTGTTCGAAATCTGTAACTGCAGTGATTCGCGGAATTATCATCTTTACGTGGGTTGTAAATCGGCATGAAACAGCGCGGATGAACACAGTGCTTTGAGGCGAGTGCTGCTGTCAGTCACCGCGCTGTGTGGATACTGTCATACAGAATCACAGATTCACTTTTTGAAAGTTTGACCAACATAAGAATTTTCATAAGAAAATGTCTTCTGAACAAGTAAGTAACATCCATTTTTGTTCTGACCAACTAAGGGGGAAAAAGCATTCGACATGATAAGCTTCGTTAGATTTAATCAACTCGATTTACAGCAACCGTGCAAATTATAGCCTACTTTGTTCTCAAATTGTTCATGTTAACAACATCAGCATTGCGTGACTAATGTTAAATTTAATGTGTTTTATGGTTACCTGTGTAGTTCAGAATTCATATTCTCCATAATAGCAAAACGAGAAAGGCACAACAAAGGAAACTCCATAACTGTGTGAATTAAGAAAACGTACTGTTACACGATTGAACTATTGAAATGTCTTACTTGTTCAGCAGAAAAAGCCGTCTCTTCTTCCGTTTCGAACCCCTTCAAAACACGGAGTTCACGCACTTTTCAAAAGCCCCGCCGATGTTTAAATCCTTGTGTTCGCATGAGACGGTTTCTTTCTCTTTCTCTAGCCACCTTAAATCCGAAGTACGAAGTCTTTTGGGTTTTATAACTGCTGAATCTCCAGTTGACACTGATGATTGTTGTTTGGATCTTTCTGGATCCGCCATAAGTTTAATCATGTAAAGTGCTGCGAGAAAAGCCTATACATCTAAACATCTCGTCACGCGCAGTATAGCCGGCTAGCCGAAACTCCTTCTTTATGTGTACGGGTGTGACGTCATGACGCAAAGACATGCTCGAATTTCCCGCGGAAACCCACCAGTACCACTGGAATTAAAATCATTATTACAAGCTAACCGTTTTGAATCTAGCTATGGCAAGCAGATAGTTTTGACCACTGGCAGAATATGTTTTTTTTAATATAATTATTTTGGATTATTTTTAACTTAAAAAAGTTACGGACTGCAGCTTTAAGGCATGAAGACATTCAAGGAATTTCTTTAAAAATATGTCATTTTGGTGATTAAAGATGAGTTTTAAGGGATAAAATGACTACAGGGGGACTATAAAAATTCTTTATGCAAAACATTTCTTTCCAGGTAAATGTAATTTCTGTGATGCTTTAATCTAACTGCTATAGATGTGGATGTTGTTGAGGATTTTCGGGATGCCTGTAGTGATGATGCAAGCGTGTTTTGTGATGAACTATAGTGTTGTGAAGATAAGCGTCTAGTATAAATGCAGCTTTGATTACACGGGATTTGTTTTTTTTACTGTGACAAAAACTCTGAACTCAGAAACGGGGAAATGCACTGATATGAAAGGAGTGTGTCTTTGTGTGTGGGCGAAGCCAACATGGTGTGCATGCACACACTTGAGCCTCAAAGGCTTGCGAAAGCATGTTTGTGTTGCTGTGATTAATATAGTGCTGATTCACCTCTATTTATTTGATTACACATTGACCGTACACACACACTAGGTTGATATCAGATGATTGCTGCATGCAAATTTGATTTGAACTACTTCTGCTATACAGGTAAAACTCGAAAAATGAGAATATCGTGCAAAAGTTCAGTAATTCAACTTAAAAGGTGAAACTAATATATTATATAGACTCATTACATGCAAAGTGAGACATTTCAAGCCTTTATTTGTTATCATTTTGATGATTATGGCTTACAGATATGAAAACCTTTTCATAATATTCTAATTTTGAATTCATTTCATAAGCTGTAAACCATAATCATCAAAATTATAACAAATAAAGGCTTGAAATATCTCACTTTGCATGTAATGAGTCTATATCATATATTAGTTTCACCTTTTAAGTTGAATTACTGAACTTTTGCACGATATTCTCATTTTTCAAGTTTCACATGTATATAGTATGCAGTTGGTACAGAGTTTTGTGCACCATAAACCTGGATGATATTCAACCAAACACTGCAGAATGAGTTTAACACTGTCGTAGTGAGCAATTTTGATGCTTGCTTTAGAAAACTTAAACTGTGAATGCATCGACCATTAAAGTTCTGTCGCTCTTTTTCACGCGATCTCTCTCCCCGTTGTGTTTATACAGTCGAAATGAGCTACAAACCTGGCAAACATTTGCATTTTCATGGCTTTTGTGTGATAGGCATTCCTGAGTGGGTTGCAGGGTTGCTCTTTTACACTGTCGTTTATATACATTTCCCT